CATGCGTTTTTGTTTTCGTACTTATACACACTTACCCTGCCCATTATTACCCTCGGCGGTATCGCAGCGAGGGTACCGTCGTACCGTTGTGTGTGTTGCACGGACGTCGCGCGCGTTTCGGTTGTTATTATTTCGCGCGCGCTCTTCGCCGACGACGGTACACGCGGATACTGTTAAGCCGAGGGTCGCGGTATTTTAATTTTCAGCGAGAAATCCGACGGCGATAAATAATTTCTCCGCGGTTAATACCGCGCGCGGTACGGTCGATTTTCCATTATTTTTGTTTTACGATTTTACGTTAACCTAACGGTCGGAGCGGGGATTTGTGTTACGCGTTACGAAATATTGCGTAACGCGCATCAATTCATTTACCACAATAATATTATGCGAAATCAATGTTTTTTTTTTTATATCTACCAAACGTGCAAACCTACGTACGTACACACGAATCCGAGACAAGGCGATAACATTATCTAATATTTATGACGGTTCGATCTAACTATGCAATTGTACGCGAGAAAATATGGAGAGAATTAAATTGTTCCGTTTAATCGAGAACAAGCCGAGTCGTGGCCATATCCGACGACCGATTAATTAGGACAAAAGGAAACTGCACGCAAACGCGTAGAAATCTTAGCGTCACTATTAACGGTTGCGATTCGATATTTTTATTACGTTATTCAAACAGAAACAGTTAAAAGAAAATATATTTTGTTTTTTTACCTCCGATGGCTATTAAGAGTCTTTGAGCCGCTGTGTTATAACATTCGAGTTTGAAAACACGGAAATTAAATCCGGTTCGCAACGAACGTGAAACGAAAATACTTTCGTGAGTAATATAAGTATTCCGTTTTTGTCTCATAAAGCGATAATGGAGATTTGAAAACGCGAACGATTCATCGTGCCTACGGCCGTTTATTATTGTGCCGGGGTGAATCGTTTACGTTTTTTACGGAAAAAACACACACACACATGCGATTCATTTGTCAAAAGTCCGTTCGGCGAACCGTCGGATCCGGTCAGCCGTACGATTTTTTACCTTTTTTTTTGTTTCATACACCTAAATATATATATCGCATACGTGACACGCAGACCGGTCGTGTGCATATTCACGTGTAAATCTGTATACATATAGAAGAGGAGGGGGTTTATGTATGTACACACGCATGCGGGAGGGGAAGATGTATACGAGAAGGACGGCGGTGGTGTGCGAGCGAATGTCGGAGAGACTGCTGCAGGGACACGGAGCTGCGGAGGTGATTAGGGAAAGAGAGACTGCTGCAGGGACGGACGCGCACACAATCGTCATTGCCGCGTAGCGACGTTAATCGTTTCCCGAATAACGGCGGATACGGCGCGTGGAGGGGGCGGAGAACCGATGTGACAAAAACAAAAAAAAAAAAAAAAAACGAAAATCGAAAAACGAAAAAAAACTCGAACACGGTCGATTTGCAGCGAACGCGGCGTGTATAGAGGCGGCGGCGGCGGCGGGGAGGCGGATTCGTTTCCGGGTGCATCGTTTCCGGTGACTACGTTTCGTCCCGTCGTCGTCGGCCCAGCGGCGGGGCAAAGAAATTCCGCTCTCCGCGTTCGGCGGCGGCGGCGGATTGATTGTCGAGTGATTAGACGCCGTACGGCGGGGAAGACGTAATCGCGATTAAATGCACGCGGGAGTGTTGTTACACCCGGACACATTAATCTCTCCCGTAATTCCCGGGCGGTATGGCGAAGCGGGACCGTCCCGTCCCGGCGTGGCCGCGGCGGGAAAAGCATGGCGGCCGATCGACGGACGGCAATTTGTCGCCGCCGCCGCCGCCGGTCCGAGTCCGCGCGACAACGCGGCGGCCGGCGGCGCACGGCGAGCGTGGCGGCTACCACTGTGTCCGCGATGATATTACACACGCATAGAGACGTACGCTGTGCGCGTTGCAAATCTGGGCAACTTAACGATTTTTCTTTCCCCTCCCCCCCTCCCCCCCGAAACGGTAATGTTGAATTTGAATTCAAACAAAGTCGATCCGTCAGTTCTACCGAGAGTTAAAATTGACTATTTAACTCGAGTTGAGTCGATTGAAAAAAAAAAAATATGTACAATATTGTATTATTTGTCTATTGCCTAATACAATGGCCCAATAATCTACCTGTGCAATCTCCGACCGGCGACAACGGGTAAACAATAACAGGCGTTCATAAAAATGAATATTTTAAAATGTTCATAATATATTGATAATAACAATAATAATAATGAAATATTTATATTTTTTGAACATACCAATGAAAACTGAATACTTAACTCGAGTTAACAATTAATTTAGTAGTTCAAAAAGAAATTTATTAAGTTAAAAAGTTAAACTAATTTAACTTTTTAACTTGTAAACTCGTTAATTCCCGGCCTTACTATATAGCCACGACAGAAATAGTCTCTATAATGATTGTCAATTAATTGTACTATTCGACAAGTAGTGTTTAAAACGAAGAAAACAGAAATCCCGGTCTCAAGCACTCCGTCACTACAGTCTACGTTTTTCCGTCGCGTGTACTTTGTATATAGCAGGCACTTTCCGAACATAAACGAATACCGTAAATAACAGTCGATAATATTTTGCCGCCGAAACGATGCGTAAAATACTTCCGTAGAGAAAATAAAAGTGGTGAAATTTGGTAGTTCAAATGGCCGGGGAAATTTGAAAACCCCCCCAAGAAACGACCATCCTTGACACTCTAAAGACACGTACATACGAAATTATTTGGCTTCTTTCGGCGAGTTTCCGGGGGTGCGTAAAGCGGAACGAACTTCCTGCCCTCGTAATGCAGTAGTTGAATTCATATCGGAAGTCTATCCGACTTTTACCACTTCAGTCCGCCCACAAAATAACTCGAATTCTGGAGTTTGAGACCGTTCGGTCGAGACGGCGCCGTTTAAACCGTTTAAAAGTATCGGAGATACGATGATAAACACAATACACTGCGATAGAGGCGATTAGTTTCTAGGTCACTTCTCGTCGGTCTGTTATCAACAATAATCTAATCGTTTAGTTCCAAATGATCTGATAATGTCATTAAAAATAAATAGGTACGTGATATTTTTTTAAACGCTCATAATGTATTACGAACTAAGATTTCACTGTTATTGAGAGTTATTCGAATGTGGTTTTAAAACAAGAATATCCTATAAATGCTTATAAAATGTGATAATTTTTAGTGTTGCTTTACGCGACATTTGAATGCACGTTTCCGTGAGTTTAGAACCAATCGTGATTCCAATTGATCAGGACTGTTATCGCGTATAAATTCAAAGTCGCACTAATCGCATTATAGTCAGGGAAAATTCGGCAAAAAAAAAAAAAAAATGTCACGCGGCGTTCATAAGCATTTATCGCCATACGATCGATAATAATATTGTAATATAATAATATTATTCTTCTCGCAATAATATTTAAGTACCTAACGCTCGCGCGCGTCATTTTGGCTTTCCGTTATTTTCACCGTTTTTGTTTCGTTACTTCATGCAATAATGTTATCTAAATCGGTTTTCGGTTGTATACATTTTTATAAAGCGATGCCGTCGATTTATGTGTACCCCCTCCCGCTCCTCCCTATACACGCGTAACGTGTAATCCCGAGGCCTCTCCGCCTCTCCGCGGTACGCGCCGCTGCAGTCGTTTACCGTATGTTTTTAGAAGATTTTCAGGAAATGTCGTTAGTGAATAATTCGATCGGGAACCCTCACCCTCTGTCTGTCTCTCTCTCTCTCTCTCTCTCTCTCTGTTTATTCCGTCTCGCCTATTTTACAAACCGTATATGTATATTTATATATATTATGTGTACGACAACACGACTCCACGTCACCGTACATACCCACCGCACAGTACGTATTTCCGATTTCCGTAAGTAAATCTCGTCGACTTGAATAAATTCGCGGTTACGGAATACGCACCGCGGAGTGATAATGATATTATGTAATAATGTTATTATTTTTCGATTCGTCTTTATATCCGCCGGGAAATATTCCATCGATTATTTATTTATATTTATATTTTATTTTTTTTCGAAAACATGATTATTTTACGTACTCGGGCGAAAACGTTGGAGTCGTTTTCGGAACGCGCGTCTTCTTTGTCCGCTCGCCGCCGCCTGCGTCGGTTCGCGCGTTTCTATCGATTCGCGCCGTGTTTCCACATTGCGAGGTCTCCATTAAACGTGGCGTTTTATATACGATATTATAAGGATCGCGTGGGGTGTTAAAGGGGTAAAGACCTTGAGAGGGAAGGGAGGGTATGCAGCGCGGACGGTCAAAACGGCAACCCGATGTTTACGTGTGATAAGAGGTGCGCAGGGGAGGTGACGGAGTGACGGACAACGACGTGGACCGACACGCAACAACAACGGACCCGGCGAATTCCGGTGTACAGAATGTTGTTGTTATTATTATTATTATTATTATGATTATATTTGTAAAGGGCGGTGGGAAAAAAAACGTACAAAATATCATAATAATAATAATAATAATAATAAACCATTATTCGCATAAAAAAAAAAAAAAAAAAAAAACTAAATCGATAGATTCAGTCAGAGATTACGAAAAAATAAAAAAATAAAACACACAGGAATAATAATAATAATATAATAATTAGTTAAGTATAGAGGTATTTTCGTAATGTTGATTTCTTAACGTCATCGGTCCGGCGGCGCGGCGCATTGGTTATGCAATTGTGCTACACCTGGGCTTTATAATAATTTTCTTCGTCGGTAGTCATAATATTTCGTAGACTCGATAATAATTATTAAAGACCGAATTTAATTGAAATTGCAACTTTTTTTGCGGTTCACATAAATCAAATCTGATCAAATATATTGTCGAAATATTATACTTTAAGTATTTTGCCTATAAAATTTCAAAATGCAATTTTCGCATATTTTTACTATTTTCTGTGTTTAAATAAACAAAATATTTAACCTAACCTAATACGGCAAAATGTATTGTATAATAACGCCATTATGACATACCGAGTTTTCGGTGCGGGCAAACAATCTGTAATTAATATTAAACACTTACGATCCAGATCGATAAACATACACGGCGGGAAATTTGACGGGTTCCAATGTCCGATGTTCACAACAATCTTCCGGGTAATTTTCAAGGTTAGCTGAGAACCTGCGAAAAATATAAAGACGTTAGTTTTTTTTTTTTTTAAATCTCGCGATAAAACCGGCCACGAGACATTTGTCACGTTCACTAACGGTCGAAAATCGACCACATAGTCCAAAGTCGAATAATTAAAAAGATAATGATGTCTGTGATGATATAAAAAATTAATATCAATCTTCGCAATTTATTTATTTCATTATTGTTATACCTGTTTCACATATGCTATTTCAGTAGGCATAAGTTTGCTCATCGAATTCGTATGATTTGTTTTTTTTTTCTGATAATTGTTATATTGTTAATTAATTTATCAGCGTAACACAATGATCATTTGAATGACGGCGGATCATCTCCAAAACGAGTAGTTACGAAATAAAATTTTAAGCCTTTTATTAGCCAATATATACGCATTTTGTTTAGTAAAGTAATTCGAAAACGTGTTTTTTAACGTTCAATCTCTCGCAATTATTAAAAAACAAACAGTTCTAATCAGTATTTTTTATTAATTTTTTTCATAAAAACGTTTCTACTTAAATCTAAATTTGTACAAGTTTATAAACTGAATTACCACTGAACTAACATGGAAATATGACTTCGGTCGTACTTATTTAAAATTAACTCTGTGAAAATAATATATTTGTATACTTACTTTTATATATATATATATGTATACACCGGCTAAAGAGTCGTTATGGTTTTTTTTTTTTTTTTACGTTTAATTATAAAACCATGTTTTTGACTTCGTCGTAGTGATCGATCAAAATATTGTTTGAACACTTTTCCTATGCACCAATGTAATGGTTTATTAATCGAAAAAAAAAAAAATAATAACAAGCTGCTATTTTTATCATTTTTTTTTTTTTTTTCGTACTCCAGAGGCACGTTTAGTTTTTTTTTTGTTCGACTTTCATTAATATATATGTATCACGATATTTAATAATATTATAGGTTATGTTAAGTGTATTGAAATTTTATCTTTCTATTCGAAAGGTCGTAAAAACAATTCAAATTATTAAATTCTATGGCGTTCGTATTAAAAAAAAAAATAATAATAATAATAATAACAATGATTCGAACTATTGAAAAATGCGATAAAATTTTACTTGACCTGAAACACATACAATATAATACGTGACGATGCATCACGAAGGTATTGTAAAAAAAAAAAAAAAAAAAACGCTTACACGGTTATATTAAGAGCTTATATAGAGTCCCGGCTGAGAATCTTGCGTGCGTAAATAAATTTCGATTAAAAAAAAAAATAATAATAAAACACTTTATATACGAGCAATTATATTTTTGTTGTTTTATTGTACCTTTGCCTATAATACAAAACGCCGTGCATCTTTATTTTGTTATACACGATATCGGTGAAAATCAATGTGTTTGGCAATGACATTAAAATGTCAAAATGCAGTAAAAGTAATCATTTAACTTATCGTTATTGAATCGTTTAACGTTTGATTTTTAACCAACTAAATATATAATACTTTTTCGCGTTGAATTAATTCGAACGGTCAGAATTATTTTCGATTTATTTCTTTTTCAACGCAATATATGTATGGATTACGATTTATAAAATAGCAATCTAACAATATATTATTATGTTCTTTACTCGAGCCAACTTTGGTGTTTATTTCAATAAATAAATAAATAAATAAATAAATATATTAGATTATGATTGGACGATAATACCGTTTTTAAAAACAACTGTCAAATTCGTGTTCGAAATAACTAACAGGTAAAATTTGAATTAATCCCTTGTGTTCGACGTTGTTTATCCCTATTTTCAAACAATGTTACTTTCGAACGTGATAAATCTAACTACGGTGATTATATTATTTTCGTGCGTTATCTCGCCCTTGTATTGATACGGATAAACCAGCATCGTTTTCCGACCATACGTCTATACGTCGTCTAGACCGGGGGTAGGCAATAAGCCCGCGGAGAGGAAATAAACGGACCGCCGAAATTTGTTTAATTGCACGTTGGTTTTTATGTTTTCTTTGATTTGTTTCTGTGTAGATCCAAGCGTCCGAACGTAATCTATATATAATTAAGTAATAAATTATAATACAAATTGTATTTTTAATACAAACATTAATACATTTATTAACTTGTAAATGTATGTTTTTTCCGAAGGAATTAAACGAGACGGACTATCGAATAGATTGAGTTTGAACTTTTTTCTGTTTTGCACCAAAAATATATAGTGCCTTGGAAAAATTTTTTTTCAAATTACCCGCCCCCTCTCTTAAAAACGAATTGTCAATCCTCGGTAAAAATGGCCGGAGCTCTTTTTATGAGAACTAAAAAACACCGTGTGTTTCAATCGACTGTCATCGAGAACATTGGAGTCGTTCAGTTACCTATACGGCAGCCACATATATCTCCGTTCGACCACGGTTCCCGTTTTTTCGGACTAATGATACGACTAAATTTCGTACAGTACAGTGTTCCGACCCGAAATTTAATGCCGATCGCGCGGAATATTATTCGCGTCATCGCGAAATTGATAAAATATACTCCGAATAACGCGTGTAAAACGGAATTCGATCGTGTGTACACTCAGGATTTTCGAAACGTTTGCGGAATAATATTAACGATGGTCGTATTACGTTGTGGATTGAGGTAGAGAAGTTTCGCCGAGAGACATTATCAGACCCAACACAACGTTGCGGATAGTATTGCGCGCTATAGTCGCGTCTGTTTTGTCCCTGTTCGCGATTATATCGTTAGTAGGAGGGACGGAGGGCCACGGCGATGACGGCCGCGTTGTTTTGTAAGCGGGCTGGACAAATTTTTCCGAACGGGAAGCAGACCGATAATAACATACAAAAATCAGTGGCATAACTGAAACTACTAATTCCCGTGGCAAACTATCTTGTCACGTAGCTCGATACAGCGGTAACCGAACCGAAACCGCCACTTACAAAAAATAAAAATATACTGCGCTGAGTTTTCAACATCTAAGCAAAAAAAAATATGTATGTACAACATTCCGTTAATAATGCTTTGGAGCGAAAAAAAGAAATAAGGATCACTGTTCGTCCAACACTTATTGTACTTAATAAACAAAACCATGAGCATCGCCCGTTTTTCATCAGACTGTCCATCTATTAAAAAATAATTTCATGGCGGTCGTCATTACGAATACAAAGATACGTTTCCGTGAATACGGAATTTCGAATTTTCGAGCAATTTTGGTTCTATTCAGACATCTTTTATGTCTCAAATCTTTGAATTTTCGACATTTCCAAATTGTTGCTAAAAATGAAATCCGTTTTTGATTCGGATTTTTTTGAAACGGAAGAGTGTTTATTTGAAAATCGAATGATCGATACTTCTTATGTATTGCGTGTTTGTAAATATATCGTACATGGAACGTAGGTGAAATTTCGAACAATGTTTCGCAAATAAAAACCCATAAACGATTGAAAAAAAAAAGAATCACAAATCAAATTTACAATATCGAATCTTTGCGTATACAGGGCGTCCCACGAAGATATAACCATTTTAAAATTCCAGAGATAATATATAGATAATCAAATTATTATTTTTATATTACTCACTTGGATGAAGAATACAAATATTTATATTGCAATTCATTTTTTATGTTTTGATAAAACCTAAAAGCATTACTTTTTACTTTATTATTTTTGCAAAATTTGAATATATCGATTTTCAAGAGTTTAGTCTTCTGAAAATATTGACGTTTCAGCTTTCTATTTTTATTCGTGATTTTTAATATTTTTTTAAAGTTCAGACAAAAGTACCTGTATAATTATGCAGAAGGCTGTAATCGCATTCGCTAATTGATTATTATAATTACGACTCATTGATTGTACGTTTATTTTCTCTGGACTTTTTAAAAATTATTAAAAATCACGAATTTAAAATGTGTGAATAAAAACTTAAATGATGGAAATTTTCAAAAAAATAAACTCTATAACACGGCTGTATCTTCGAATTTTTCAAAAATAATAAAATAAAAATTAATTATTTTAATTTTTTTTTATCTAAACATAAACTTAAATAATGAATTATCATTTAAATATGTATAATTCTTATCCCTGTGAGTAGGTAATATGTAAAAAAAAAAACAAACTTCATTATTTTTATTATTTTCTCCGGAGATATTACAATGAGTATATCTTCGTGGGACATGCTGTATCCACCATGTATACCAGGTGTACAATGGCTGGAGCGTTCTCGACGAAAGATTCACTCTGTATAATATAAACTCCTGTTACAGAATTATATTGTATATAATATTATTACGAAGTCCGACGGCGGGCTCGTGTAATTTTGCAGCAGTCCGTACGCCGAACGGGTTCGCGTCATAAATTGCCCGGGCCGAAATGTGTATTCAATCGGTTACTATTAAACGACCGTGCAGTCGTCGAAATCACCTAATGGGTTCCGGTACGATGATTTTTTTTTTCTTCTCTCTCTCCCTCTCGTCGCTCTCGGCACATAAAATATGATTCGCGTGCCGTTTTATCAATTTTTTTTTTTTATTTATTTATTATTATTATTATTATTTGCGCACAACACACTGACCCGGTGCGAACGACGAATGGAATTCGTTTTACGGTCCATTGCGCGTTCCTTTTCCCTCCATCACCCTCCCTCCACCTCGGCTCCATCACTAAATGTACGGTCTACACCCTGTATATTCCCCTTCACCACCCCTGTGTCTACCGCACGGGGCTATAAGTCCGGAACGAATAGCGCTTATTGTCGTTGTCGTCGACAAGAATAACCACAATCGAAAATTCTCCCATCGCTCACTAATTGCTCAGGGGTTTTTTTTTTTTTGTCGACTCGAAAACGATGTGTTCATTTACACCACAATTGGAAAGCGAATTAGACTTTTGAATCCGATTTCGATCATGTCACCATGACGCATTAAGAAAATGTAAAATGTATCCCGTAAAACCGAATAAAAAAAAAACTGTCTAACGTTTATTCAGAAAAGTTAAAAAATTATGAGAATGTTTTGAATATTTAACCACGTCTACGGCTAATATATAAGTGTACCCGGTGGATTGTGGATATTTACCGTTATATCTAATCGAATTGGTACAACAACCAAACAAATTCGAAAATAATGAATTCGTGGTTGCCGAGAACAAT